GAAGGATGCCGATTTCATTTTTGCCAGCAGAACCCAGGAACAGGTTTTCAGCATTGCTTTCTATCCCATAATCATGATCTGCTAGTAGGGACCATTCAATAGTGCTTCACTGTGCTTCCCACATGGTACACCCTTTCCTCAGCATTTCTTGTCGCTTTTAGGAATAATGACATCCACTGGTTGCCTCTGGTTTTAGGTGGCATGGTGTCATTATGTTTTTGTTATTGGTATTATCGTAGGACCTAGAAGATCAGCCTGTGGGCAAGGACCACATTTCCGTAAGGCATTCTGCAAACACCGGACAAAGGACATTTCCTACTGCTATTTTCTATTTATTGTTTCTCCTCGCCACTAAATTTTCCTTGTAAGAACACTTCACTATGTTGAAGATTCAGTTTTGTTAAAAACCTTTCTTAGCAAGTTCCCCCTGAATGTATCCAAGCATGTATGAAATGTGGGGAATTATTCTTATAATATTTGCTCATGTGAATCGGTTTCTAGGTAGTAATGTACTTTCAGGATATTTTTGCTATCTTAATATCAGCTGATGGGACTGATTCGTCTGATGTGCAGGTATGCCAGGTTAGACTAGCACTGCTGCAGGTACCCAGTACTGATGAAGTTTTACCATGTTTATTACAAACATTGAAAATGCAGAAATTCTCCAAAAAAATTAAATGTGCCTTCTCATTGCTTAATTATCTAATTAGGTTTTAGAGAAAAAAAATCATAAAAACTCAGTGTTTTCCCCTTGAAGTTGTAAAGAATGCAGACAGTTTACAAGCAATCTTTGTGCAGTTCACTGTTATTTGAATTCCCTAGTAGTCTTTATAGAGATTCCTTAATTATTTCAATTAACATTAACCCTTGAAAGCTGTACACTTAATGTGTAGATTTCTTGATTTTTTTGAAAGCCATTAAATTACACAGTATTTTGATTTTTATAGTTAAGAAGAAGAAACCAGGTATTGGTAGAGGTGGAAAACCATGAGGTGCCTAGTAGACTGCTAAAAATGCTAAAAATATTTGGAGAACATTCTAATACGTATTAGCAAGAATAAAAGCAGGACTTATTTTGCAGTGTCTGAAACTGAGTTAGCTGTGCCAAAACCCATTCAGTTATCCGTAAAAAATATTTAACACCATCTGACATATTCACTGTCACTCCATGCTCTGTGAATCAAATATAAAATTATGTGCAAGAAAAAACCCTACAAACTCATTTTGTCACAAGTAAGCTAGGAATTTTGAAGATGGTCAGCTCCACTTGTCAACAAGAATAAGCAAGAAGAAAAATAACGGCTTAGACTAAAAGAGAAACAAGTCAGTAAGGCCTTCAATTTGAAAGGGCTGCCTCCCAGAAGAGGAGTTTGCAGTGCATGATTAACATCCTTATATTTTCTCCAGAGCTGGTTGGATTTCTTGCAGTTAATAAATAGGGACATCCAGCTCTAAGAATAAAATTTGAACACTTAGAAGAAGTAGCTAGATCTAGTATTTTCGGTAGCGTCAATAAATACCAGAAGGTTGTTTTCTAAAGTTGAATTGGAATTGGGTTTTGAGCTTCAAATGTCTTTAAAATTTAGCCTTAATTTCCTCTGAGATTGTGACTCAGGCCCACCCCTTTGAATTATATACGCAAGCTCGGAAATTTGTAAAATTGTTAAGTTGTATCCCCACATCTGCAAATTGATGGCAATTGAAAATGATCACCACAGTGTGTCACCACAGCTAACACTACATTGCAATCAGATTCACTTGAGCATTTCTCTACAAGTCAGTCAGATCACTTAATTTTTCTTTTGGCCATTGATCTTTTACAGCACCTGCAGCTTTTTGTTTTTCCTCCAAAGATCATCATTTTACTTTGAAGTCTACTGACTGTGATATGTCTAACCCAATCCTGTAGAGGCAAGGAACTGAATAATTACTTCACGAGTGCCATATTAAAAGCGGTCCAAAGACTGTTTAGGCTGCTCATTAAAGTCATTGGGAATTTGGCTGGGCAAGAGCTCCCTGCTTTGGTCATGCAACAGGGGGGGAAAATCGCTCCAAAGATTGTTATTTTCTGATTATTTGTGTTTTGGTACCACAAAAGGATTTGATTAGCACGCTTATGTGTTTAAAACTTGAAGAACAGATGCCACACAGCAGCACCCCCACCACCCCCCAGTGTTTGTTCCCCAAAGTCTTGATTAAGTCCCAATTTTCAAAGGGAAATAAGGTAGCAGAGAAAAAAAAAAAGGCAGAACAGATAATAAAGTTTGCCTTTAAGATCAAAATTATTAGAGTTGAAATAAAAATTACGTTCCAAATAGAAGTATAGTTAGGATAAAATTCTCAAAGCCCAGTTATATCCCTCACTGCCTGTTGTAGTAGCAGAGAGTAATATCCTGGGACCTCTGAAGTTATCAGGTTTTTGAGACTGAATGAGGACTCTAATTTTTTTTTTTTTTGCAAACTTATAAATTTGATTGCTTATTGAATGCTACCGAGACAGAGTAAATGTCCTGACTCCAGACTGCAACGCAGCAAACACATAGGAACAGACAAGCACACGTACATTCATACTTGGAGTAACAAACCTGCTGGGTTGGGTGTGCTACCTTGTCAGATAGGAGAAGACACTCAAATCCACTGGCTCAAGCCTTTGACTGGCACTGAACTATGAGAGTCAAAATGGAGAGAAGATCTTTGTTTCTGTACTGCCTTCTTCCTTTGACAGAAAGAATTTTGCATTTATCTTTAAGACTAGGCAGTCTGAATTTGTTTCAAAGTGATGTAAAATATCAAGCTTCATTTCTGCAAATACATTTCTAAAATCAGACTGGAAATCAGTCACTTGCATGTTATTCTCTGTGGCTGTACTTAGAATTGGGGTGGTTCTCCTTTAAATAACCATTCAGAAGCTCCGAAATCCAGGCAGTTGTGTATCAATTAGCAGGGTGCATTTCTTAGTGTGAGCTGCCTGGAAATGCAAAATGACAAATCTGAGCATTAAGCTTTCTACCATCATTTTGCTTTCCTACCTCTAACTGCAAATCAGCTTCATTGTGACTTACAGTGTAAGAAGTTGGTGCATTTCTGCAGATCCACGATAAGATATTTTTCTCTAGTAAGAAATGCAGTTAGACTCTGCATTCTGAATCTGTCCCTGCCAGGCCCTAGATGCATTAGTATTCCACTGGCAGCTGCCTGTAGGTAGGAATATTGTTTTTGTCCATAACCAGAGGGAACAATCAGACTAAGCCGTTCCCCGGCTATAAACCAGCCAAAGTAATTGGGTTTAATTTTAATTTTTGTAATAGCTTTAAATTAATAGGAGCAGCTGCTGCCACAGTGTGTGGGTGTCCTTTTCCAGAAGGCATAGAACAAAAAAGGGAAAGAGTAAACAATAGTGCGTCTAGGACACAAAGGTTAATTCAAGAACTGAGCAATGTCTTTTCGTTATCAAAAACTCAGTTGGTGATATCTAGCACTGTGTCTCTTTTCTTTCTTTTTCTTTCCCTTTTTTCTTTTTTTCTTTAATTCCCCGATAAGATCTCAATCTGATTAGACTCCTGTGTGTAAAGACGTGTTGTTGGTATCTAAACACTAACTCTCTTTCTCTATATGACTCACAAATAGATTAGCAGTGACAAAGTGCTAGGAGAGATAAAAATAGATTAGCAGTGACAGGAGTACTATTATAATTATTTTTGGAAGATATGGTTTGAATTAAGAGTTTGGGCACTTTCTGCCCTGAGAGGGTGAATTTAAACCTAGGAACTGAGGATGGTTTCTGCTGTTGTGGCAGACACCAGATAGTGAAATGTCAATACCAGATGTCCTAGACATCAAGATTAGCCATAATAGCCAAATGCAGCCATAAAGTGATGTGTCAAAGTGGATAATAAAACAGATGCTTAGCTTCTATAATGAAGGGGAAAGGGAATGAAATATCAAAAGTGCCTTTAATACATTAACAAAGTTGTCTTCAACTTGCTTAAAAGTAGAAAGTTATTGAACCAAGGAGAACTATGTGTCATTTAAACATTAACTCTCAGCAGATGAATTTCAATTAGCATTAGCCTTTCTAAAATCCTGAATTTCCTCCTATTGGTCTCATTTTACATGAAATTTTTATAGCATAGAGTGAGGCTTGTCCTCTATTATTTCTCCCATGCTAATTTGGAAACAAATAAAGTTCAACAACTCAGCAACATACTGTTTAAACTTGCATTACGGTTTGAGGACTGGGAGCTAGAATACATTTACCCACTGCCATATCATCTGCTTGATTTGAGATCAAATGAGGGATGTCCTATAGCACTCCAGAGTAAGGGCGAATGATAGAAATATGTTAAGATACTGGAGAAACCTATTAGGTTAGGGTACTCCGTGCAGACTGCTGGTGGCATTTTCCCCCTACTGATACTTTAAAAAAAAAAAAAAAAAAAATTAAAAGAATTGTTTTTCTGTCCTTCATATTTGTGGCTTAAAAATCATTTTCAGATCTTAGTGATAAGCAAGTGTCTTATTTAACCAAAAATGCTGAAGTAAATTCTTGAAGCCTTGAATTCAAGAACCAGGGCAATAAAAGGGGCAAATAAATTCATATTTCAAGTCTAATTAACTGCATTACTGGCTCTTTATTGTACTTTTTCAAGAACATCTCAATTCCTTTCTGTTTCTCTTTGTAGAACCTAAGTCTTGCTGATCAGACTTCTTAATTGCTGCTAATTGGCAAACACGTACTTCTGCATAATGAGAGGGTTTTGTCCTCTATCTCATATTAGCAATGAAAGGCCAAAACTGATGCTCTGCAGTAGACCAGCTTCTCGGAACTATTACAAAGAGGCACATTACTGCTGCTATGTCTGTAAATCTTATTGTGTTTTTCCCTCACCATGATCCTAGTTTAGCTGAGATCTGCTCCAATCATTAGATGAGACCTGTTTATAATGTCGTGTAATTGAATCAGTTAGAGTCTGCAGGACCATAGTGTTTTGTTGCCAAACATGACTGGCAAGTTAGTTACATCAAATTACAAGTGCATGGCACGACTAGAGAATCTCCTGTCTAAATAAAGCTAGAAAATCCTTCTACAAAATGAAGAAAAAGTACAAACAGAAATATTGAACATCTTGAGTCCATAGGACAAGTTTTTGACCCACCTCTGAAATATTACTCATTTCTATTGAGAAATAACAGAATAATTGAAGTTGGGTGAAAGATGGCAGGCAGACATTTGTTATTCCTCAAACAGATACCAGCTTGATAACAATGACATAAATGTCTCTATTATAATTATTTACCATCATGTATATTCATTTTTATCTTGTCAGATAAGCCAGAACTCTCGGGGAGGGCAGCAATCCAATTTGGAACAGGACCAAACACCCTTTTCTCCTGTGCTTTCTAATTTAGGACCAGGTCATTTTCTATACCTGAAGTTTTTCGTTTGGGTTTTTGGGTTTGATTTTTTTCACCTGAGGAATTTATCTTTTCCTCCATTCATCGGCTAGGTGTCGATATATCCCCTGACTATTAAGGAAAATAAAAATATAAAGATGTCCTGAATTTCAGTAACTGTTCTGTCAACGTTGCCTTGTACTGACATTCCTTCGTTAATTATGCCACATCTCTGTGCTGGTGAATTAGACCTGTATGAAATGATGTAGCCACACTCCAGCCAGAGGTTTGGCTGAAGCCTGTGTAGCGGTATGCAATCGCACCAGCTTGGTAGCGAAGCAGAGGACGGCTTAACTGCCGGCGCATCCTCCTCGCTTCACGGGAGTCGGTTTCTCCAGTTGTGTGATGCTCTTCCCCCCTGTGGTGACTCTGCCAGCTTGGGCACCTGGAGAGAGTGTCCAGTCCCCGTGGTGACTGGTGCACCAGCACAGTAGCTGTGCCATGCACGGGCCCCTGGCGTGGAGGTTGGCTGCAGGAGTGCTCCGAAACACAGGCTCCGGGATCTGCTCGCCAGCTCCTGAGCTGCTCAAGCTGTTACGCTTTGTTGGCTCTAGAAATTTGAATCTCACCATAGCCCTTTTGTCCAGATTTCTGATGTCAATGTATATATATGTCAATGTATATATATGTTGTTTTTGTTTTCTAGGCAAAGAATACCCTCTAAAAATGTATATTACTATCGCTGCCCAGACCACAGGAAGAACTATGTCATGTCATTTGCTTTTTGCTTCGACCGAGAGGATGACACTTATCAATTTGCTTACTGCTACCCCTACACCTATACTCGCCTTCAGCACTATCTTGACAACCTACAAAGGAGGAACATGGACTACTTTTGCAGAGAATTGCTAGGACTCAGTGTGGTAAGTAATAGGTATGCTTGCCATCTAGCAGGCTTCATTATGAATGTCTACCCTTAAATGCTTATAGAGTATAATTCATCATCCCTGCTAAAGTACACACATGCACGTATTTGTTTTACTGCTATCAATGACACATGAGGTAGTGCACCTGTGTGGTGAAATATAGACAAATGCTAATTTAATTTCACATAAAATATTTCCTTTGCAATATACAAGACAATGCTAAATTCCCATGTAGGATCAATTCACCTCTAAAGACATTAAAAGATGAAACTGAAACAGCTTTATTGAAGAAATGGGATTTTTAGAGTAGTCTGTCCATTTCTTTTGGAAGAGCTTTTCTGTTCAGAAGGAAATACATGTCTTTGGAAATAGAATATAGCTTTTCTTGGTAAAGTAATGGAAAACAGACAGAAACTACCTATTTTATTTACCTGTAAAAATGCCTGCTTTGGTGGTTTGAAATTAAAAGGGGTTCAGTGGTCTCAGTATAGATCCTAGTGGCCGCATGAAAATGAAATGTGATAGGTCTTCTGGTGCAGGAAGGAGGGTTAATGGTAAGGCTGAACTTCTGCTCACTTTGCTATAATGCTTCTCTGAAATTTTTGCCTGTCCTGAGGATTTGGAAAGCATGACTCAGCCACTCCCATATCAACTCAGAAATCATCAGATTAAAAAATAATAGCTGAAATCTTGTTTGGTGTGGGGTTTTTTGGTTTTGTTTTGGGTTGGTTTTTTTTTTTTTCACTTTTGCATTCTCAGACTTTATAGTGTGCTTGTCCCACATTCTTAATCTTTTCTCTGAGATTTGATTTGGTCTAAATTTGCAGTGGGTGTGTTGGAAAAAGAAAGCTGAGATTCCTATGAAGGCTGCTGATCCCAGCAGCTGGGACTTTGCAAAGAATCCCAGCATATATTGTGAAAATCAGAATGAAATTATATGTATAGCCTGCACTGGAATAAATAAAAGGCTGCCAGCCTTAGAGCAGGCCATTGAGATCCCTATGGTGGCATAAAACTTGGAGGAAAAAATTAACTCGTGGAGAAGTGTGAAAACAGAACTAACAAAAGAAAGTGGTTTTTTAACCCTTTTGTCAGTTAAGTACAGTTCTTGTTCTAAAGATGACTATTACATATCCCTGAACTGGCATTAATTATTAATAATTCCAATTAGGGGGACAAACAATTATAAGGGAAAAGGTTATTAAAAAAATAGAAAAGTAAAATTGTCAGAGGGTGGGAGGAAAGAGCACTATCATCTTAATGCCTGTAGGGTTTTAATTATTAATCTTAGAGGACAGAGCTGTCATTAATTCTATAATGAAACTGAATTTGTTTCCTTTCACTCTGAAAATAGTGTATAAACAGTCACATTTGCATATTCATCAAAACCCTGATCTGCCTGATTAAAACACTGAGATAGAAGGATTTGTCTTTTATCTGCATTTTGACAGACAGAGCTATACTCTTAAATCTTGTTAACATTGTGTTACCAGTAGTTGCTAAACATTATTTTTCATATTTCAGCAAACTAAACAAACAGATGCCATTCAAAATGTGGCAGGAAATGTGCTGTGTATAAGTCCTGATTTTATATCTATATGTACACACACAGTATGTTTTGCAGAAATTGAGATGGTAACATTTTGCAGCTCACCATGCTGATCTGTATAAAAAGCTTCTGAATCAGGCTCATGCTGTAATCTTTGTAAGTAACATTACAATCTCAGAGCATTTCTGGCTTTTCTCCACACACAACTGTCCTAGAACAGCTTGGTAATTTAATGTCTTTGCTGAGCTTGAATAGACAATTTCCATAAGTTCTCTGCGAGTTAAATATTTTAACATAGAGCTTTGTTGCTATCATACATCTTTAAATGGTGAAAAACAGGATCCTTCAGTCTTCACTGCACAGTGCTTCATCAAAGCAGAAGCTGGCTGTACTTTAGAGAATTGCGTGCCATATAGGATAGATTTAGAGCTAAGAAAGCGAGCTCTGTCCCTGCTCTGGCCTCTTATGTAAGATAAGAGGAATCAGATTGGCATAAAGAGGCCCTTAAAAGCTCTATTCCTGGCAAAGAGACGATACCCCTGGTAGCACATGGTGAAAGGTAACTTAAAGATGCAGTCTGAGGACAAACTCTGAAGTCCTCATGCTGGGCACGGGGCTGAAGCCGGGTAACATGTTAGGAGAAGGCTGCGGCAAGTCTGCTGAGCTGCCGTGTAGCCACCGATACGCTCTGGCTCATTCCAGGGGAATTTTACAGCTCCCTGCAGCAGTTTGCGATTGTGAGGATGGAGAACGGTTTGAAACAATTTCATTTCTCCTGGATTATGAAACTTTGAACTGTGCCTCTTGGAGACAACAGATTCTCGCCACAGATCTTTGGGGGTTTTTTTATTTTTCTTTGTCGTGGAACAGTAAAATGCAAGTCACAAGAAACCATGCTTAGATGATTACTCCTGAAGGCTTTCTGAGTGCACATTTTGCTGCATGTAATGTTTTCAAGGCAATCTAATTTCTAATCTAATTTCATATTTTCTCTAAAGAAAGTACTATGCCTCCATTAACTCCTTAAATACTTTCACTAATTCTATGAAAATTGAAAGTGAAATATCAGTATGGGACATGTAATTGTCATTAGGATGCAGAATGGCAAAGTGGTTCAGAGCCAAATGGCAAAGATTCCCATTGCCAGTGTGAATGGGTAACTTAGCTTTTCTATTTCTGACCTTCTAATGTTTTTATTCTCTACTTCAGGGAGCTATCCCAAAGTCTAGATGTGCCAAATGGTCTTGAAAATAGTCTCTCCTGCAAGCTAGCTATGATGGTCACCCAGGTGTCACTTAAACTGCCGTTTTCATTCTGCCATTTTTGGCCTTAGGTAACTTCAGACTTTCTACGGGTTGTCCCAACAGATCATAAGTTCAAAATCTGTAAGCATGTTTTAAAATAGTGCAATTACTTTTTGGCATATTATTGATGTGTCTGTTGTCTCGGCATATATTATATGCTATTGTGCAGCATAATATAATGAAAAAGAAAATTATATTTCTGTGAAAATATAAGCACAGGCTCAGTTTACATTTACAGTACCTATTTTATGACATATGGTCTCGTGCAGTAACAGTTATGTATAGCATTATAACCAATATTTCAGAGTTGGTGAAATTTTTGAGTGTGTCATCATTTGAAGGTGGCAGTCTAAATTAGCTGTGCATACTTGAAGTGTGTGGACAATTGGTGACACCTGTACCTCTATGGGTATTCCACTATTACAAATAATAAATTAAATGAGTTTTGGTGAGTCTGGCTCAACTCTTAAAGCCCACTCTACAAATCGCCACTGGCTTGGCAGTATTTTTGTTACTCACTCAAAAGAGTACCAAGATTAATTGGAGACAGATATTTCCTTTCACGCCATTAGGCAATGGTGCTTCCAAATTACACTTGAGGAGAATTGCAACTGCACATACAAACCACAAGCCTCAAAGGGACTTCCACGGTACACTGAGACTGGAATATGGAATTCTGTTAAATTAAATATTAAACATACATATTTTAAAACAAGAAGGCAATATGTCTAATGTAGAGCTCTGTAAGTGAGCCAATCTCTTAAGTCAGACATGAGATACTGAGTGAAACAGATTGGAACACAAGGTGCTTCCTTCTGACTCCACACCACTTTCATGTGTGCTTTTAATTTACGTAAGTTACTCCTGATTTATGCTGGTATCAGAGAGATCAGAATGAGTGAAGCAGAATGTGAAACTGCACACCAGATGTCACATTGCTGGTTCATTGATCAAATATCCCTTATTTACTGTCTAAATGACTGGGTGCCTCAGTAAAAATAGTTGATCAGTTCTACTGATATCTACTGGTCCATTTTTAACTGCTCAGTTATGACTGTTTTAAAGCATGAAGCAAAGAAAATAGACAATTTTTCTAAGGTTAAATATCCCATTTCTGCGTTCGGTGTTAGGTTATGTAATAACAGTTCTGTAAAAGAAAAGTATACTCTTCATCTTCGAAAAAACCAGACGTTAAAGGCTTCGGTGTGATGTATCATGCCTTTGAAATCATGTTGGTATCAGATACTGTACTTTCCAATGGATCTGACTGCAACTAGGTTGAAATGTCATCTAAATGCAATTTGTGGCAATTTACTTGATCTGAAAAAGGCCACAGAAATAAGGCTTAAAAAAAGTAAACCCAACTTCTTATTTCTCTAGAATGTAAAAGTGCACCTACATATATGTTCACGGCACATTCTCTTTATTCAGTGATGTATATATTTACTCGTATAGTACTGCTGTTCCCATAACATTCATAATATGGATGTCACCCCAAAACTGCATGGGACATTTTAAGTGTTCCTACAGCTATTTTCTTAGCTGGGTTGGATATCAGCAGAAGTAGAGTTGGACCTAAAAATAACAGTTGAACCTAAAAATAACCAACAGTTCTTTCTGAAATAAAATATGATTTATAATATATAATAGCACAGTGTGCTACCAGGGAAATTATATAGATAACATGCAAAATAACAGGGAGCTATTCTATACCATCAGTTTTAAGGAACATTTCTTCATTAGAATTTAAAGGAAGTTCTGGGAGATAAACTGGCTTGTGGGAATCATAGACAGGGAAAGATAAGCGAAACTATGTTACTGTTGAAAGTTGCCATCTGTCTGTAGGATATATACAACTGTTCATGGTAGAAACAAGAAATACTTCGGTTTAAGTTGGCAGCAATATATAGTTTTAGAAAAAACAAACTCAATAAAACCATCATTTACAGTTAATATTGTGCAAGGTTACTAAATTTATAAGCCGGTTATTTCTTAAATTGCAGAAAGAGCACTGTTTCATATAGTAAAATAATTTCCAGAAGGATTTGCATAAATTGTTCTTTATCTAACTATGAGTAAAAAATCTTAAATTGGGAAGCAGGGTTCAAATCTTAAGTCAATTTTGCAGCTCGCATTTTATAACT